TTGCATGCTTGTGTGTCTTTCTGAGGCATGCTTTTGTGCCTTTCTGAGGCGGTTTCTTCGCAAATAAGCGTTTGGGTTGTTTTAGATGGGTTATCATGTCGCATAACTCTAGATTTAAGCTGAAAAATGTGTAGTTGTGTTATCCGCCCCCACCCCCTGCTTGCTTTGTGTTCTCGCCAAGTGTGCACAGTGGAGCGCATGCTGGGCGCAATGATCGTTGTAAGTAAGATACGGTGAATTGTGAGCTATACGAGTGTACGACGTGTTGGCAGGATGGAGTGACGGACATGATCTTGATAAGCGTCACGCGCCACGACCTTTGGAGGCTTCACGACGTAGTTGACGCATTATGCAATGCCCATAATGTCCTATAGTTTACCAGGCATGAGACAGCACACCACCTCTGCCGTCTCAAACTGCCGCAATCGCACACCATTGCAACCCGGCACGCCACTACGTAGTGTCGACGTTCAGCTCAACTGTCCAGATGATGATCCTGGTGACGCTCCTCTCTGGCAGTGTTTGGACCCCAGGCAGGTTCGCCAGCCTGGATTTGAGCAGCTGTATGCTGGCCAACTTCAGTGCATCGCTTTACAATACAATCGCAATGTTTGGCATTCTTAGCAAATGGGAGTGCCATGGCACACAGCCTCTCGGTCCCTAGGCCTATGTTCGCTATTATGCACCCAACGTGGCAAAAAGATTGTTTCCATATTTCCTCATAGTACTTCTTCAAGTGCCCTGTGGCGATCATCAGATGCATTTGTTAGTTAGTATACCGATGTGGCAGACGCGAAGGTAGCGCAGGCGGGGCAACGATGCCAGGCTGGGACTTCGTGACGTCACTGTAATAGTGAAGGCAGATTGTCAGAAAAATCTCCGGATGATCACACCTTATTACACGACCTTGGGTGACATCAATTTTTCATAGCGGGACCAGGTCGTAAAATCATTACAACACTTGAATAAAACAGTGGATGAGAAATCGTCCTTTCCAGCGCGCAGACCCTTGCGCGCTGGCCCAAACCTTTTGATGCTATTTGTTTCACTAGTCGATTCTGCAAAATAATGAACGTCGTCAAGGAACCATGGGAAGACCTTGCGCGTTTTGAACTCGTTTCGACTCGCTCCATCCAATATTAATGAGACCCCTTATCTCCAGTAAAGGGGCCCTCTTAAGTACAACACTTCTGGGTATTGTTAACTGCCTGAATGACAAAGAGGCGTTAACAGCGTGCTGAGTAATGGTGCGACCAAAACGACGTCTATATATCCCGCAATGTTGCTGTATTTGTGTTAGAAAAATAAAAATGTTTATGGACAACTGAAACATAAATAAACGTGGCTGCAGACAAAAAGGGATGATAAAACAATTCTCGCCAATCAAAAGCTAACCAAATGCCCCGAAAACTGAAACACATGGAGTCAGCTTCGAACCAACAACCGGCTTCGAAGCGGGCACGGCCCACGCCGGCTTCCAGTCACCTGCCGGCCAGCCAGCAGCTGGCCGGCCGCCCATCGGAGCCAGGTCGAGGGCCTGGTCACGTGATCCCTGCCACCAGCTACGCAGGTGTGCCGCCCAATTCGCCGAAAACCGGCCCGTCAGCGGCACACAACAGGGCCGCCACAAATACCGAAAACTGGCCACTCAGCGGCGCACAACAGGACCGCCACAAATACCGAAAACTGGCCAGTCAGCGGCACACAACAGGGCGCCACAAATACCGAAAACTGGCCACTCAGCGGCACATAACAGGGTCGCCACAAATACATAGATCAGATGCCCAGCGATGTCTGTTCGGCGATAGTGGGGCGACCCGCCGTGGTGGTACCAGTCGCATTGAATACACCAGCATTCAACCACAGAACGCAGATTCTCCTTTCTCGCTGTTGAGAAGCACCACTTGAAGAACACAGAAAAGTCACAAAATCTGATTTCCCAACCGAGGTTTGGCTTGTGCGAGCCCGGGATGCGTGGGATGTGTGACGAGAGCCGAACATCTACTGAATGTTCGTCTGGAACATGACCGCGTGCAGTTGGGATTCATTCCCTTGCTCGACATCTCGACGTTCACGTGCCAAGTTAGTGGCGCCTTTTCCCGAATCCTCGGACTTCAGTCATCCACGTGGGCATTTTGCAATTTTGCAATTGGGCATTTTCGGTATTTGCGGCGGCCCTTGGTGGAGAAGTTGCAACAAAAAGGTGTCTTTATATCCTGTATCCTTTCTTTGACGCCGGCAGATCGTCTTCTGGCCACGAACCAAATCTCAGAAAGCTTCTGTCCTACGGTGACACTCCAACTTGGTAACACATTCTCTCCATTTTCGTTATGGACGGCACAGGCGCAGGTCTCAAGCGAAGCGGGACCTCAGCAAGATTATTGGTGAAACCGGGGCCTTGGAGCAAACCTGAGTTCGGAGACATCCCGTGTCCGCGCAGTCCAAGAGTAAACGCTATGGTTTGGAATCTACCAGATTTTCCCATCGCTTTGCCATACGTTTGTAAGGAAAGTCTTAAGCCTGTCCTTTCTGGACCACGTCTACCTGAAGGCAGAGCCTTCCTGGTGCAGCATGGTGGCTCCTGACTGTCCATGGACAGCCTCCCGTGGCTCCGTAGCCTCCCGAGGCGCTGTTCGCTACCAGGAGCCTAATGTCTACATCTCTGTACTGTACATTCAACGCCGCGAATGTGCGGCCACGCTTGTAAGTCCTCTAACTTCGGGGTGTCGTCATGCGCGACAGAAAATCTCTCCAACGTGTACACAAGTGAGAGAGCGATAAGAATGGGCCCGTTCGTTTCGTTTACCTGCATCCCTGTGACAATGAGGATGTCTGGCCTCGTTGCTTCAGGATCTGTCATACAAAGCGAAAGCTGAGCAGGCACGGCGTCTGTCGTATCAACAGCATCAAGCGACGATTATCCACAGAAGTTGGTGGAGCTACCAATATCAAGGAGGGCGCACGTGCCGATCGCCCTTTCCTAGTTGACGCGAATCCTGACGGGAATCATGGCCATGATTCTCTGTATCTTTAAAGCGCCAGCAGCGATGCTTACTGGACCATTTTTGGCTGTTGTCTCAGCAAACATTTGCCACGTCATTCTTGCGAAGGCGATCTCATGCGAAGGCGACGTCAGACCCTTGTGTAAAATTGTGGGATGCCGTCCTTTGTAAATTTTGCAGATGTCCAAGACATGGTCCATCATGTATCTCTTCTTCACCTCGGCGTCTTTCTCTTGGGGCACCCGGAAATCTTCAAGCCTATTTTTCGCCACGATACCAGCACCTGTACTCCACGTCCTCTGTAGCCATGCTGGGAGCCAAACAGCTGGTCTGGCTTGCGGCTTCGTTTTGTGCTTTGTTTGCGTTAAGCCCTTTGCAGTGTTCTGATATGCAGATTGCTTCCAAAGCACCATTTTGGACTGATTTTGGCCCAGTCTTCCACAAATCTCGCGAAATGTTTGAAGACGGGACACCTGCCAGAGACTTGAACCCTGACAGCCTGACCCTTTCAGAGGTCTTGCATATGATTCGGCAGCTTGTCCAGCACACCTCTCAGGACGCCTGGATGGTCAAACTCCCCCAGTGATGTAACCACACTGATAACCACATAGCAATAAAAGTCAGGGTTACTAATATACGTTGCCAATACGCGTTACTTGGAGGAGTAGTAAAGCATAAGCTGCGCACATTGCCGTCTCAGCACTTGACCCTTCACCATGCCCAGCTGACAATGGCCATGCAATTCCTGCGCTGCGGGGCTGTTGGGAAGGTGTAACGCAAAAATGTCGTGTACCTCGTCACCTACCAACTTTACAAAGCCCCTCAAACGTCTACATTACCGAGACAAACGTAATGTCTGGGAGCTCTTTACAGGAAGCGTTCCACATTGTTATCGGGTTTTGAACTTAAATTGCCATATTGAGGATCATTCGGTACAGTTCACAGCCCAGCCCTATTTAAGACCTAAACCTCCCCGGTCTCTGAGCTTCACGCTCGCGAAGAGGTGCATGCTAATTCGAAAAGACCATTTGAAGGTGGCCCAGGCATCTATGACGTCATAATAACGTCAGTTACCTCTCATTCCATTGGTCATGCGGCGATCAAGCCAAGGAAAATGTCATGGCCGAGTGGTTCATATCTGACGTTCGTCAGCACGACTTCCAGATATACTGACCGCCAATTGGGTCTTAATCAATGTTGTGCAAGGTACGATTACCTAATCAAACAATGATGTACTGAGGAGCATATTTACTGAACAGAGAAGCTTGTTTAGAGCAGTCTTTTCCACTATAAAGGATGCCAATAGGTAACCTTTATCCAATAGGTACATGCCATATTAGGTATAAGTGAGCTTATTTTACCATATATGATGCTTGATTCAATATTTGTTCATGGGGAACATTTCCCTTTAATCAGCGCACCTGAGATGTAAAAGAGAACCAGAAATGCTCCATTCAGCGACCACTTCATCAACGCACATGACACGGAAATGATCGACACAAGCTCGCTCAACATATCCATCCTGTAGGTATATAAAGATGTGTAAATAAATCTAGCAGCTAAATTCAAATGAGAACTGGGGAACCTACACTGAACACTATGAGTTTCCCCTGTAGGTTTTTGAAGTATACCCCGCATCATACCGTCTGGTAGTGCAGTTCTCCTCCAATGGAGTTGCTTGATGGCATGCGGCCGCAGAGCAGTAAGTGATGCTTCTTAAAATGCTCTACGGCACACTGGTTGTTAATTGAATCGAAGGTTTGCTTCATATGCATGTGCAAAGGAAAACCAACGGCTGAAATATATATATATATATATATATATATATATATATATGGTTTTTCTGGACTCATTCGCTCTATTATGAGCATAAGGTTGTTTTTATTCTCCTGTACATACAGCGTCGAAAGAGCTAGGACGACCAAAAAGCTTGGTGTTTCGAGATATGAGATGACGAGTTGTATTCCAAGACAGGTTTTCAACTGCAACAAAACCCGA